ATAAATATTTATTTATAAGATGTCATTCTCATAAAAATATTTCAAATTAACTAAAAATCAAATGTCAACTCTTCAAAGTTAACTATCCAGATTTAAAAATTAAATAAGTGAAGAGCAACTAGAGAATGAGGAATTCCTTAAGAGGTTCTTTAAAACCACAAAAAGGTTAATATGTTTGCCTTTTGTTATTGTGCTCTGTTAAAAAGGCACAGAAAACTCCAAAGTGTGCTATATTTAATTTAATAATATTTAACTATTAAAACTATTTGCCTACATCAAAATAATTTTTCTATAGCATAAATCAAACTTGAAATAACAAAAATGTTTGCTTCATGGACTGTTATAAATAAATAGCCACATTATGACCAAACTTGTTCAAAATTGTAATTGAGTTTTTTCTCTTAGTAGAGCAAGCTTTCTATTATTCTGAAATTTAATGTGGCAATGTTATTAGCCCAATATTCTTTCTGAATTACAATAGCCTTTTAAATGACCTAAAGCACTTACATAATTCACCTGTAAACTGTCCTTGACTATTTGAGCCCATATATCCTATGTCAAGAAGGTCGCTGGCATTGCGCTGGTGGCCTCCCCTTAATACCTCAGCTTTCCTAGGTCCAGTGGATCCTTTAGAAGAAGCTGTTCCTGATGAGCTGTGGCCGCCTGGAGATGGGAAACTGGGCTTGCTATAGGGCACCAAGGCCTCCTCTGAAAAAGAAAAAAACAGAAAGGGCTAAGTTAAACAGAAACATGGGGCAAAACACAAACTTAACTCTTAGCTATTAAGCTCACAATGGCTATTTTACCATTTGATACTTTAGTGAAATTAAAATTATGAGGTTTAATAAGGCCTAGATATTAAAGGAATTTCCATGTGCAAGCAACATTTCCTATAATAGGAACTCAAGCAGGATTAAATTAAAAGAGATCTAGGGATAACTATACAATGTTATACATTATTTGCAAAAAGTTAAATTCATTATAAAAGAGAGCTGCATACAATGAACCGTAGTTTGCTTAACAAAAGCATATCTGAGCATAATTTCTAAATTTCAATGAGGCTC